CTGATACAGAATTACACCAGACCCATTGAACTCGCTCACTTCCATTAAGAACAAGTAAATCATACTGCTGTGGCCTGTAACAAAACTATTTATTCTCCTGAGTAAAGTTCTGCAGAAACACTGCTCAATCCCCGTAGGCAACCAAACAAAACTCCACATTGTTCAAACCTAACTGCAGCCATCCACAGGCAAACTGTTGCCCTATTCTTGCAGCAAGAGTATCTCTTTAAAAAAAGTCTTGCTGCATAGTTAACCATATACCAGCCAAGATGTTCCTAACCAGATGATTATTTATTTCCTTCTGAACAAATTGACTGACATCAGCTATCGTCAGTGGCACTCTGTTCTGCATCTCCACATCTGAAATATTGCTTCTCATCTCAAATTTTGCTTACGGCTCATGAATTTTTAATCAAAATTCTCCATTTCTACACAACACAACTCAGAATTCTAAAGTTCTGGATCATGGTTTCTGACTCATTTATTCTCCACTTACACACATCTCTCCTTAAAAGTCTGCCAGTACAGTGAGAAATATTTCTAAAACCTATTGTAGGTTTTCTCAGTTACCTGTGATGTTCTACTAGTATCCCATATTACACTTTCAAACATTTTCACCATGTAGAAATCATGCTCCATAGTATAATTAACAAATACACACGTAACCTCTTTCTCTTGATTTTTGTTATGGTTGGATCGAGTGTCTGTGTTGGCATTTCAAAAAAATTCCTGATGGACCTGTTTCTAATTATGGGCGCCTTGAAGACATGTGAAGTTTCTTTTCTTTTGCACTCAATGATTGGATGGTAGTTACCGAATCTCGAATTTGGCTAGTTGGCTAGATTGTTAATCAAACAGAATTAAATTTGATCACTTCGAATCATAGAATCCCGACAGTGCAAATAGAGGCTGTTCAGCTTATCAAATCTGCACTGATCCTCCAAGGAGCATCCCACATAGAACGACAAACCCAACTCCCTGTTCTATCCCCTGTAACCCCAAAATTTCCCATGGCTAATCTACTTAGCCTACACATCCCTGGACAATACAGGGCACTTTAGCATAGCCAATCCACCTAACTTGCATATCTTTAGACTGTGGGAAGAAACCCACACAGGCACGGGGAGAATGTGTCACCCGAGACTGGAATCAAACTTGGGTCCCTAACGCTGTGAGGTAGCAGTGCTAAGCAATGTGCCACTGTGCCGCCACTTCTTCTTTTTCCCTCTCAGAAACATCCCTAAACAACAAAAACCTGCATTTACGTCGAGTTGCTTGGAAACGTCCAAACAAGCTTCAGGGACGAATAATGAGATAAAAATCAAAGCCACACTAAAGGTGATATTAGGATGGTGACCAAAGTCTGATCAAAGAGTTGGTGAGTTTTAAGGTGGCTCTTGAGGAGGAAGTGAGAGAGAGCGCACATGCGTCAGAGCGAGGGGGAGAGGGAGAGCACACGAAAGCGCAACAGCAAGAGTGAGACAGAGAGCAAGAGACAGACAGAGAGAGAAAAGGGTAATGACAGCAAGAGCAAGAGAGAGAAGAGAGAGAGCAAGAGCGAGCACGAGAGCAAGCGCAATGTAGATTAATGACTTCCAAAGCACACAAACAGCTGAAGGCACAATTGTCACTTGTGAGGCAGAGACTGTAAGTGGTGCACAAGAGACCAAAGTCAATTTAAGTCTGAAGTGCAGTCACTGTTTTTTAGCTGAATGTACTAAGTACATTGCACTTGGTAAGTTATCACCACTGCAGCTCCGGAAAGAATATTTATTAGGTTATCAGAAAAATTCTGAGCTGTTTCATATGCTCTAATATTCACTTTCCTAAAGGGACAATGTGAGGCTTGAGAAAGTAAGCTTTATTGAATGTCTATCCCAGGACCAAATAGCCAGCATCAAGTTAGAAGGAGAACAATCAGACATGTTTCAAGTGAAGAGGCATTCAACAAGGCTATGTACAATTCACAAAATTATTTGATTTGCATTCTGAACAAGCATTCAGAAAACTATTTCCATGGTAAAAATTGGAGGCAAGCATTACTTTGAAGGAAAATCAGAAGACACCCTGTAAAATATCATAGCTCAAGAAAAATCTGGAAGTTTAGAATGTGGTTTGAGTACGTGCACCAAAAAGACAAAAACACAGTAGATAGAAGGAATATATTATAACGAATGCAATGAGGATTGAACTGAGTGGTGTCACGCTACAAGTAGATAGGTTTGTCTACTTAGGACAAATAGTCATAGGAGACAGCAGGTGTGATACAGAAATTAGAAGATGGGCAGAGATAGCAAGAAATAATTTTATAAAGGTGAAGGATATGTTAACAGCAGGAAAGCTCAAAATTGCAACTAGCAATAAACTAATAGCATGCTGCATTTTATCCACTTTTCTTTATACATCAGAAAAAACCTTGACAACAAGTAATCTGTGGAAGAAAATGCAGGTCTTCAAAGTGCAGGTGCTATGACACACGGTAAAATTCCACATACAGTCAAATAGAGAAGAGCAAAAGAATTCAAAAAGGTGACAAAGAAACAATCAGTATGTCAGTCATTGCATCAGTTCTCTTCTAGAGTGTAAAGTTGATAGCACAGATAGGAATGGGCCTCAGCAAAGCTGGACAACAAATGTCAGAGCCATTGTGGACAAGCTACAATGAATGCTGCCACAGATGAGCATGGGACACCATGATAGCCAAAGTTATGGTTGTTGGCGGTCAATCATCTCAGCTCCAGGACATCTCTGCAGGAGTTCCTCAGGGTAATGTCCTAGGCCCAGCCATCTTCAGCTGCTTCATCAATGACCTTCCCTCCAACATAAGGTCAGAAGTGGGGATGTTCGCTGATGATTGCACAATGTTCAGCACCATTCGTGACTCCTCAGATACTGAAGCAATCCATGTTCACATGCAACAAGATATGGACAATATCCAGGTTTGGCCTGACAAGTGGCAAGTGACATTCGTGCCACACAAATGCCAGGCTATGACCATACCAATAACAGTCAATCTAACCAACACCCCTTGACATTCAATGGTGTTACCATCACTGAATCACCCACTATCAACATCCTGGGAGTTATCATTGACCAGAAACTCAACTGGACTCACCACATTAACACTGTGGCTACAAGAGCAGGCCAGAAGCTAGGAATACAGCGGTGAGTAACTCACCTCCTGACTCCTCAAAGCCTGTCCAAAATCCACAAGGCTCATATCAGGAGCGTGATGGAATACTCCCCACTTGCCTGGATGAGTCCAGCCCCTCAAGAAGCTTGACACCATCCAAGACAAAACAGCCCGCTTGATTGGCACTACATCCACTACTCCCTCCACCACCGACTCTCAGAAGCAGCAGTGTGTACTATCTACAAGATGCATTGCAGAAATTCACCAAAGATCCTCAGACAGCACCTTCTAAACCCACGACCACCTTCAACTAGAAGAATAAGTGCATCAGACATATGGGAACACCACCACGTCCAAGTTCCCCTGCAAGTCACTCAACATCCTGACTTGGAAATATATCGCCGTTCCTTCACTGTCACTAGGTCAAAATCCAGGAATTCCCTCCCTAACAGCATTGTGGGTCAACCCACAGCAGGAGGACTGCAGCGGTTCAAGGAGGCAGCTCACCACCACCTTCTCAAGGGCAACTAGGGATGGGGAAGAAATGCTGGCCAGCCAGCAATGCTCACATCCCACAAATGAATAGAAAAAATAGTCCCAAAAGGAGGACTACAAGTAGCAGCAGCAGAATTCGAACACACCAAAAATTCATTTTCTAACAGATGAATAAACAACGCAGGATTCTTTTAGTATTGTAATGGATTGTGGGGCTAGATTATTTCTCAAATTCTGGTGTAGAGCTTGTAACTCAACTCTTTGACCTAGGAGCGAAACTAATTACACCTGCCCTATCAGACACTGTCCTGACTCTGTATTCAGTGTCCCTTGCACTCTATCTGTTGTCAGGCACAAGTCCTGAGGACCTGTAGTGGGGCTAAAGGACACTGATGTTTCCTTGAATCAGAGGACATTGATCTATTCCCAGGTCAAGAGGACAGCAAGACACCCCTGAAGGCTGACTTGCCCCCAGAGACCAACCTGGCTCTGGGCACCATCTGGCCCCAGTCAGAGACCTGCCTCTGGACAGTGAACAATCCTGAACACTGACCAGGCCCCCAGGCAGTGGACAGGCCCCAGACAGTGGCCAGTCTCCTGGACAACAGAGTTATAGAGATATGCAGCATGGAAACAGACCCTTTCGTCTAACTCATCCGTGCCGATCAGAAATCGTATATAAATCTAGTCCCATTTGCCAGCATTTGGTCCATATCCCTCCAAACCTTTCTTATTCATATATCCATCCACATGCCTTTTAAATGCTGGAATCATACCAACCTCCACCACTTCCTCTGGCAGCTCATTCCATACATGCACCACCCTCTGCATGAAAATGTTGTCCCTTAGGTCCCTTTCATATCTTTCCCCTCTCACCTTAAACCTATGCCCTCTAGTTTTGGACTCGCCCATCCCAGGGAAGAGACCTTTCGTTTCTACCCTATCCATGCCCTCATGATTTTATAAACTGCTAAAAGCTCACCCCTCGGTGTCCAACACTCCAGGGAACACAGCCCTAGTCTATTCAGCATCTCTCTATAGGTCAAACCCGCCAACCCTCGCAACATCCTTGTAAATGTTTTCTGAACCCTTTCTAGTTCCATAACACCCTTCCTATAGCAGGTAGACCAGAATTGAATGCAGTATTCCAATAATGGCCTAACCAATGTTCTGTACAGCCGCAACGTGACATCCTAACTCCAAGATTCAATGCACTGACCAAGAAAGGCAAGCATCCCAAACACCTTTTTCAATATCCTGTCTACCCTCCACTCTACTTTCAAGGAACTATGAACCTGCACTCCAAGGTTTCTTTGTTTAGCAGCAATGACCTGGCCCCTCCCGGATACCGGCCTGGCCCCGGGACACTGACCTGCCTCAGGGTACTGCTCAGGAAGTAGATGAGTGAGAGGCCGAACACCACGGCGAGGACCCAGCGCTTCCTCAGCACCTTGCGCCACACCATAGAGAGACACTGCAGCATCGAGACCACACCGATCCGCGCTACCGGCCCCGATTCATCGCGGGTACGATCCCTCTCCCCGAGGTGAGGTACCTCCCGAGCGGCTCCCCTCTGGGGCCGGCAACCTCCCGATCGGTTTCCCTCAGCCGCTCGGTAAACAACGAGGAGGCGGAGCTCCCGCCCACCAGCCGGCTCCGTTCCATGATTGGACAATTCTCGGCCGACCTGTCACATCTATTGGATAGTAAGGCCGTCAATCCAACCGGCGACGTGCACCAGACGTGCCGCGTCACGGATGTCAAAGGTCAGAGAAGTCAAAACAAAGGAGCGCCTGTCAGTCATGGTGAATGTGGCTGGAGAGAATGATTGGGGGTGAGCTTCAAACTCCAACTCCGGTTGCAAAATAACGCGAGCAGAGAATTCTTATAAACCCCAGCCGCATATAACATTAAGCGGTGTGTTCGACGCCTTGCTTGGAAAATGCTGTAAAGAGTCATGTTGTAATGGGCTGTAGATGGTGCAGCCGACTGGGCCTTGAGACTAAACAAATAGCAGTAGGACATACATCAAAAACAGAAATTGCTGGAGAATCTCAGCAGGCCTGGCAGTTTCTGTGGGACGTTTCAGAAATTCATTGAGCTCTGATGAAGAGCTCAAAACGTTAACCCTGCTTTCTTCCCACGGATGCTGCCGGATCTGTTGAGTTTCTTCTGCAGTTTCTTTTTGTCTCTCTGTTTCAGATCTCCAGCATCCACAGCTTATTGTTTTATTTTAGTGGGGCATGGATGTTTGATCAGCTTCTGGGAAGGCGGCCTGGGTTCAAGTCCCACCTGCTGCAGAGACGTGTGATGATATCCCTCTGGGACACAAGATGGCTTGGTCTAAGATTAAAATGATTCAATATTGTACCACTTTATGACGTGATTTCTGAAACTGCTAAATTCGACCGCTAGTAAAATAATTGCTGGTCCTTATTTTGTTGTTTTTCACATTTTATGTATTAGTAAAAAATACAACTTTTCATTGCATTTAGATTTTTTTTTCCAATTTAAGAGGGATTGGAAGAAGATGCAGAGAAGGCATAGTAGCAATGCTGACAACATCCCACCAGAAAGGCAAGTGTCTGCACTTTGTGAAATCTGTGGTTTGCAGTGGGTGGGAGGGGGCGAGTGTCAACATCATCAATGTCAGCCTTGAAAATATTTAGTAAATTCAAATGATTGTTTTATTCTGAAACTTGTTTTTTTTCCACTACTTTGGCTACGTTTAGAAACTTCATTTGGAAGTGGAATCTTGGCATGACCCAGCTGAAACAGATTTTTTAAAAAATTTTCAGAGGTTTTTGAACCAATGTTGGTTTGGCTTGGCTAATGTTTTTAACAACTTGCAAACTCAGTAACATAGAAGTCCTGCCAAATTCAATGGTAAGACTTCACTTTAAGTTTTTCCCTATTTCCTGGTCTCCACACTTTAGAGACTGGTCACTTTAGGTGACTAGAATGGAAACCCAGCACTGATGGGTCACAACGGGATAATGAAGAGGTGGGGAGGAAAGTGAGATCGTCATTTGACAGAGGTTGTTGGCTGTTGGGAGAATGAGGTCATTGGATGGTAGTGGGTCTGATCACAAGGAGGGAATTATCATGGAGAGACTGGAAGACAAAAATTGCTTTTCCTTTAGACCCACATGCGGCGCTGAAAATGCCCTTGCCTCTTGGAATGGACTGCTATCGTAATAAGATAGGTCAGCTGTTAATATAAGATAATGACCAAGAAACACAATAGGCAACTTGGAAAAAACGCCTTTATCCAAAGAGTAGTGAGAATATGGAACTGAGTATAATGAAGAAAAGTTTGATGTAAATAGAATAGATGCACTTTAAGAGAGTATTGGTCAATCACTTAAGGGAATAATAGATTTAAATGAGGAAAGTTGGAGATGCTTGAGTCTAGAAAGAGGCCTGCAGATAAAAAATGGCAAATGATGACACAGATCACAGGCTGAGAATTTTTAGAGAAAAACAAAAATTCTAGAAATGCATTTGAATCTTTAGAACAAAATATCTAAAACTAATATTATTTCTAGCAGTTTTTCTTTGGTCTTGTTTCAAACTTCTAGCATCTTCCTTTTGGCTTTTATGTTATAGTATGTTGTTCAAACAATGCGTACCTTAGCAACAACCTTTGGCTTTTGTCTTCTCTAGCAGTCTGAATTTATCCATTTTCCTGACCAATTATCCAATAATTTTTGAGTACTGCAATATATTTATGTGTATCGTTATGGCCTAGACCAAACCCCCTCAAAATATTCATAAGATAGTCTAGACCCCAACCTTTTCTTATTTTAAAGATAAATATAAGGTGTTGCATTCCAGATGCAAATTGATTGGTCAAATGACCAGATTTGAAGTAAAACACACGTTATTCATCAATAATTAAAATACAACAAAAGAAAGAAGGCATTGGAATAACTTAATTCTATTGGAAACCTTAACAGAACCGTAGATGCAGTAACTATTGCTAATTAACAGTTCCAATATAGTAACATCTCAAAGACCCACTCTTGGCAAAAGGCAGATTCGGAAAACAGATGTCTGACATGCAACTTCCATAGCAGGCAGAAAACCCCCAGCTTTTGGCTGTAACAGAGGGAAAAAAAGCTTCCACTTCTTCAAGACCTCAACACCAACTGCTGAGGGCTAAAAATCCTGATTCTGTGGAAGTTTGACCAGTCCCATTCAGACTTCTTCTATTGTTCCAACCTTGTATTAGAAGAAAATCCCACGGCCTGACGAGATGTTTATTCTAGTGGTTCTAGTCAACTGCTTTGTCCCTCTGCTTAAAACCACTTCAATAAAAGACCAGGTCAAAATAACCTCTTAAAGCCACAGCATTTTCACAGTATGTAAATATATATTATGTACATGATACTAGTATTGTTGCATTTTTAGACAAAAACTTCTTATTTTAGTATAGTTTGCAAACTTGATTATTTTTCTCTTTTTTTTAGGACAAGGAGTCAGACAGTTGGTTCAGAGACGAGTGTGGATGAAAATGGCGTTTTTGAAGGACTCAAACCTGAAAACCCATCAGCTCAGCAGATGTTTTCTGGTTTGACAGGTCTGCAATCGGGCCCGATAACTGCTGCTTCCTTCCAGTCTGGTCTAGTCTTGGGATCTTCACTCAGTGCTTCAGTTGGAAGTGGAGATGTGTTCATTCAGATGACACCACAGGAGGAGGGAGCTATTCGCACAGAGAATATGCAATATCATCATCGCCATCGGCATCATCATTATCACCACAGCCATCATCGTTCATCTCTGTTGCACGTTTCTGGTGATCGCCATGGTAACACAGAAGATGTCAATGATGACCCTGGAACTCCTGCCCCGGCACTTTCAGAGCTCAAGGCCGCAGTCACCTGGCTTCAGAAAGGCCTTCCATTCATCTTAATATTGCTGGCTAAAGTTTGCTTTCAACATAAGCTTGGTAGGGGCATCCATCTTCTAACTTGTGTTTACTAATAACAATTTGACTGAGATGCATATTCTTTAGCAGTTACTGGATTATTTAAAGCACTATAATATTCTTGTATTTATTCTTCTAACAAATGTTTTGGACCATCTGTGTTCACAGCAAGCAATTAGATCTTTCTAGACATTTGTTTCACTGAGTGTTGTCTACAGATACACCCTGTTACAGCAACTGCTGAACAAACAATATCTTTAAGAGCAGCAGGTATCTGTTTAAAGTCCCTAAAGTACATATAACTCATTTTTTATTTAAACCTGCTTCCTGTTAATCTGAGAACTCAGAATTTGTTAAATTATTCAGTTGAGATGTTTATGCATAAATCCTACCACCCTTGGAAATAGTTGGAATGCGTGTACGTTTGCTAATATTCTTAGCAGATTATAGTGACCCTCAAACCGTTGGCAATGAAATTACGATATTGCAGTAGCACTTTTTTTAAAATCCCCATCCCATGTGGTCTATCTTTGCCGGCCATACACAACCTATTCCTTTCATCTGAGGCGCTTGCTCCCTGCGTGGATGAGTCAACTGACCAAGGCACCATGGTCCAGGAGGCCATTCAAGAGGGGGGAGATAAAGGGCAGATTGTAGTTATAGGGGATTCCATCATCAGGGGGATAGACAGTATCGTTTGCGAGCAGGATAGACAATCCTGCATGGTGTGTTGCCTGCCTGGTGCCAGGGTGCGAGACATCTCTGACCGGCTTGAGAGGATACTAGAGAGGGAGGGGGAGGATCCAGTTGTTGTGGTACCAACAACATAGGCAGGACTAGGAAAAAAGACCTGTTTCGGGATTATGAAAAGCTAGGAACAAAATTAAAAAGCAGGTCTTCAAGGGTCATAATCTCTGGATTGCTGCCCGAGCCACGTGCAAATTGGTGTAGGGAGGCGAGGATCAGGGAAGTAAACACGTGGCTAAAAGAGTGGTGTGGGAAAGAGGGTTTCCTTTTTATGGGGCACTGGCATCAGTTCTGGGACAGGAGGGATCTATACCGCTGGGATGGTCTCCACCTGAACAGGGCCGCGTCCAGTGTTCTGGCGAAAAGGGTAAATAGGGTGGTTAATAGGACTTTAAACTAGTAAGTAGGGGGGAAGGGAGAAGTGAGCATAGAGAGACAATAACAATTAATGTAAGGCAAAGCAGCTGGTTAGCAGGTGACGAGGAAACTTCAACTCCATTGAAAATTAGGAAAAAAGTTAAAGGGAAGGAGAACTCAAGAGCTGTTAGTAATGGAAGTAATAGGACCCAAAAAGAAGGTGCAAAAACTGGCATAAGGGCACTTTATCTGAATGCTCGGAGCATTCGAAACAAGGTGGATGAGTTGACGGTGCAAATCATGGCAAATGGGTAGGATTTAGTGGCCATTACAGAGACATGGTTAGAGGGTGGCCATGACTGGGAGTTAAATATCCAGGGGTATCAAACTGTTCGGAAGGACAGACAGGAAGGTAAAGGAGGTGGTGTTGCTCTGATTTTTAAGAATGATATCAGGGCGGTAGCGAGAGATGATATAGGTTCTGCTGAACAAAACGTTGAATCCATTTGGGTGGAAATTAGGAATAGCAGGGAGAAGAAGTCACTGATAGGTGTGGTCTATAGGCCACCAAATAATGACATCGTGGTG